GTGGCTCCATGATGGCCAAGCAGGGCAGGTGGGACGGCTGGGCTGGATAACACCAGATTAGGGAGACAGGAGTGGTCCAGAGAGGTCAGAGCAAGCAGAGAAGTTTGGCTTATCTGAAGGTCATCTGGGTTGGAGAAGACTTTGGTCCTAAGTGTCTCAGTCCTAACGGATATGTACACCAACAAAACAGCTGGCAGTGCAAAGCACCCACATCCTCACAATTACACTGAGAGCATCCGCAACATAACATCTCCCAAAAAAAAAAAAAGTCATCACAACATCTTAAAACCCCTAACAATACAGGTTCACAAACAGTCTGCATTTTTTCCACTGCTGTAATCTTTGATTGAGACAGCTTGGTTTAGTAGTATTCCCTGTTCTCCAAACACCTTCCCTCCCACCAGGACAGAAGAGGCTGTTTTACAATTTTTCAAGCCTGACCTGACCCCACAGCCAGACTCTCCATTCAGACCCTCAGAGTCCCAGCTCCTTCCGCTGCATGACAAAGGGTGGCTGCCCTCCCTCCTGACGACTAATCAGCCCATTGTAAAAAGTTTCCTAATCCACATTTGAGCTCTTCTTTTGGCCGCTAGCTAATTGCCCAATTATTTTATTTCCCTAACAAAACTCTTCAGGCTGCTGGGAATCCACATTTAGGACCCAGGCCTGTATCTTGGGCCTCAGGAGTCTGGGGGATTTGGCCTTTGTCTGTTTGTCTGCTTCTCACGCCTCCCTGCCCCCTACCCAGCCACGACCCTAGGTTGACTGAGTCCCCAGCTTGCCTGGGGCTGACAGATGACCCTACTGGCTTCAGGGGGTCAGGGCAGGACTGGGCACTGGAAATAGTTTGAGGGCGTGGAAAGAAGTTTGGTCTGGGAGTGGGAAGACCTGACTTTACGGGGGTATTGATCATCGATCATCGACTGTGTGTGTTTGGGGAAGTTATCATCTCTCTAAGCCTCAGTTTTCTTGTTTCTAAAACACGGGGGCAGGAGCATGACCTGGATAGCCGATTTCAGCACTAAGCTCTCTCTGATTCTATAAACCAGCAGGTGAAATAAAGAGGGTAAGTCGCCTGGCTGGACAAACCCCTCCATTGGTGCTAAATGTTCCCAGGCTCCTCCACCTAAGGGAGGTCCCCAACATCAGGAAGGGATCTCAGTTTCCCAATCGTGGACCACTTGCCTAGGCTACCAGCAGCCCCCAGGGCCACCCTGAGCACTACGTCCCAAACACCCATCCCTGCAGGCAGGATCGGTCCTTTTAGAGAGGCTGGATATTGACTGTGTAGTTTCACTTCCCGTTGAGGGTCCTGTGTTGAGAGGCCGATGCAGAAATATCAGCGAGACATCTGGAGGAGGCAGGGAATCAAGAAGGTGTGTGTGGGGGGGTCCCTCCACTTTACTATCTTCTCTGGAAATGAGGTTTCCATTTAGCTGGTCTGTTACCCCAGGTATAGAAGGAGCTCCTGAACCCCCGGGGACTTCCAGAGGTTCTCAGCCCTATGGTGTTTCCTAGCTGGAAGAGAACCTCGCATGGGCATCTGCAGGTCAGAGAAGCAGCAGCACCAGGGGCCTGGCCTCCCTCAGCCCTGGAACAGCAGGTCCCTGCTGAACCAGAACGCGGGCCTGCGAGGTCTCATTGTGAGCATCCAGCCTCAGGGAGCTCCCAGTGGGTCTACATGTTGGGTTTTTGGGGAGGGGGTAGTGGCATGCAAGGACAGCCTGGGTGTTAAATCCTTGGCACTAGTGATAAGCCACAGGGCTTCCTGTCGCCCAGCAGCAAGGGTAGTGGACTATTGCATATTTATGAAACACCAGCCCAGAACAGCTTCCAGAGACTGAGGCCCACAGGTCCTGGCTTGCCTTTAAATGTGACACTTCTGCACCTTTTGGCCTGACTTAAGACCCAAATGTTTGCACCAAGTAAGTCCTTCCCCTGTTAATCACTTGCAAAGGAAGGCAACAGCTTCTCTTTTGAAGAAAGCTACGCTTGTCACAGAGAGAACAGGAGGTCCTGTTTGGACCGGAAACAGTGGTGGGAATTTATATTTCACGGGATGTTCCAACTATGGGAGATGAGTGCCAAGATGGGATTTGAATTCCACCTTGTGAATTACACAAATCCCATGGAAATACAGATGGGAGAGAAAAGGAAAGGGAAACAGAGAAGCAGCTGAGGTCATGCATGATTCTATGACCCCAAGGGTCTCCTTTTCCCACCCTGGGGTCAGCTGTTAGGATTTCTGTATTTCCTCTTACCTTGGCTTGTGGACACATGTGACCAAATCCCTGTTCCTTCTCTTCAGATATCCTGAGCTCTAGCACCTACTATCTGTATGACCTTGGGCTAGTCAGACAACAGTTTTATGCTCAGTTTCTTCATCTACAAAATGGAAATAATAATGGCAACTTCCTCCTCAAGTTATGGTGAGAATAAAGAGTTAACAATAAATATAAAACATTCAGAATAGTGCATGGCCCACAAGCACTATTAGCCATTGTGGTTATTATTTATGCTTATCTGTAGAGATGGGGTCTTGCTATGTTATCCAGGCTGGTCTCGAACTCCTGGCCTCAAGTGATCCTCCTGCCTTGGCCTCCCAGAGTGCTGAGATTACAGGCGTGAGTCACACCACACTCAGCCCATTATGATTATTATCAGTGTTATTCTTATCCCTCCCCCTTCTCTGATGCTAAACACTCCCCCAACACACACACTACTAAAAGCCCCTTCAGACAGCAGAATAGTTCTGCGGTGTGCTCTCCCCAGTTAGCTGGTGGACTGGCTCATGCCACCAGCCCTCAGCTGGAGCCCAGGTCATTTCCAGACACAGAACAAGAGACAGAAACCTAGAAAGCAGAGGCCAGAGCTGCCTAGAGGCATGGCCTGTCCAAAGCCACAGGTACTGGGGGCAGATTGAGGTGGGAGCCCCCCCTCACCGCCTCCTCAAACACACATTTTAGAGTGGCTGGGTTCAAATATGAGACTTCCATATACATATACATAAGCAAATGCATATGCATATGTATATATATATGGTGGCATGAAGTCCCTGGGCTTTCATCCAAAAGAAATTCCAGCTTCGAGCAACAGAAGATTCCCTCTTCCTCTGCCTGAAATGTTTGAGGACAGAAGCAGGGGGATGACATGGAGAGACCTATCAGTGACACAGCATTCCCACAAAGGGGCCAGAGTGCCCCCACTTAGAAGGTGAAGGGGGATGCCCCTTGCCCGCCAGCCCCCTCGGCCCAGGGTCCTGGTCCTCCTCCAGCATCCTTACTCACCTTGCATGCAACAGAACATGGGCAAGTGAGGCTGTGGAGTTTTGGGAAGAGCTTCCCCCTGCACATCCTCAAATCCCCTATGCCAGTGCCAGGAGGAGATGCCTACAGAGACAGACACTCCATTTAGCTCCCAAGCCCTTCATTGAGGTTTGGGAGCAGGTCACTTCCCCAGGCAGTACTCTGACGTTGCATCTGCAAGAGGCACCTGAAACTGACACCTGCCTCCTAAGGGCTGTGTGAATACACATTCAGAGCTTAGAACAATAACTGGCACATAGTAAGCACTCAGGAAATGTGTGCTATTATTATTGTTGATAGTTTTATAAAAAGCCACGACCTGGCCGGGCACGGTGGTTCATGCCTGTAATCCCAGCACTTTGGGAGGCCAAGGCAGGCAGGTCACCAGGTCAGGAGATTGAGACCATTCTGGCTAACACAGTGAAACCCAATCTTTACTAAAAATACAAAAAATTAGCCAGGCGTGGCATGCACCTGTAGTCCCAGCTACTTGGGAGGCTGAGGCAGGAGAATCACTTGAACCCAGGAGGCAGAGGTTGCAGTGAGCCTAGATCACGCCACTGCACTCTAGTTGGGGTGACAGAGCGAGGCTTCGTCTCAAAAAAAAAAAAAAAAAGCCACGACCCTGTGATTGCAGAATTTAGGCAGATAATAATGACGGCAAACCCTTACAGAGTGTTTACCTGTCACTAGACACTGGTGTTAGTGTCTAGTGAAACATCCTGCATGTACTAATGCATTTAATCTTCACACTAACCCTATGAGGAAGACCTCATGATCATCACCCTCTTTCTGTAGATGAGGAAACTGAGGCACTGAGAAGTTAACTAACTTGCTAGCAGGTCAAACCGTTGGCAGATGGCAGGTCTCATATGTGAACGCAGCCAGTCTAAAATGTGTGTCTGAGGAGACACAGGGGGGATCCCACCTCAATCTGCCACCAGTACCTATGGCTTTGAACAGGCCATGCCTCTGGGCAGCTCTGGCCTCTGCTTTCTAGGTTCCTGTCCCTCGTCTGTGTCCATTATGATTATTATCAGTGTTATTCTTATCCCTCCCCCTTCTCTGATGCTAAACACTCTCCCAACACACACACTACTAAAAGCCCTGGGCTCCAGCTGAGTGCTGGTGGCACGAACCGGCCAGCCAGCTCACTGGGGAGAGCACACCCCAGAATAATTCTGCTGTCTGAAGGGGGGACTCCTGTGCTGTGGTCATGTGACTGCAAAGGCACTTGCTGAAATTGCTGTTCCTGGGACTCCCAAAAACAGTAGCGCTGCCAGATTTGTGTCCTGACAGTGTCTAGCATCCTCTGTCATGCGGGGAGGGCAGGGATGGTGAGACAACCCTGAGGGACCCCTGGTGCGGGGAGAGGCAGGGGGTGTGCAAGGAGTGTGGGTTGGAGAGAGATGACCAAGGGGCTTCTGTGAACGTGGTCCAAACCAGCAGGAAGGCAGAATCCTTCCTGCCCCTCCTTTATGATTTGCAAACCTGGACCCAGCCCAGCCTCCAGAAGAGACTTAAAGAGTTTTAAGCAGCTGGCTAGCAGGACTTTCTTTTACACAGAATAGACTAACTTTTTCATAGAACGGGGCTGGGGTAAGGCCAGGAAAATTAAACAAGCACTAAAAATATTGTCACGCTGCTGACAGCACAATCACAGGCCCCAGGCCTGGGTGGCATCCAGACAGCCCTGTTCTTTCGAGACAGCCCCCTCCTCCAGGCTCAGGGACCTGTCTGGCTGTGAGCTCCCAGGAGGTCCCAGGGGTGTGACCTCCTTCCCTCCCTCCCTCCCTTTTCCCTTCACCCCAGGCCAGCCCAGGGCCAGCTATAAAGCTGGCCCAGCCTGGCTCTCAGCACGCCCAGCTGCCTAAGACCCTCCTTCAGTCTCCTTAGAGGACAGCTCCACTCTGCCTCCTGCTCCTCCAGAGCAGCACCATGCGGCCCGTGTGGCTCTGCTGGGCACTCTGGGTGCTGCCCCTGGCCGGCCCAGGGGTGGCCATGACTGGGGAGCAGCTCCTGGGCAGCCTGCTGCAGCAGCTGCAGCTCAGCGAGGTGCCTGTACCTGACAGGGTCGACATGGAGGAGCTGGTCATCCCCGCCCACGTGAGGGCCCAGTATGTGGCCCTGCTGCGGCGCAGCCATGGGGACCGCTCCCGCGGGAAGAGGTTCAGCCACAGCTTCCGAGGTGAGGCCCTCCCTCCCTGCTGCCCCCGGTCCCATGGTCAGGGACAGGCCGGTTGTGCCCACTTTGGTGGTGTCAAAGGGCTCCTGGCCTTTTAGGACTCTGTGGGAGGCTGTGTGAGGGCCACGGTCCAAGGAGCAGTGAGGAGGGGCCAGGCCTGGGCCCAGGGTCTCCAGCTGTGCACTGAGGGCCCCCCTCTAGCCCAGGGGAGGTGCACCAGGCTAGACCTGTTGGAAAAACCAAGGCATCAGAGAAGGGGAGGGTAGAGGAGAAAAAGTAGAGCTGGGGGAGCGGGTGAGTGTGTGCCTCAAGGAACTTGGTGCAGCTGTACTCCCGGGGTCTGTTTTCACACTGCCACTCTGGTCTGAACCTAACCTTGAGTAAATGGCTTTAATATCCTCTCTCCACCATGTGCTCATCTGGAACAGGGGTATGACTATGTCTTAGCCATCTCCCAGCACTGTGAACATCAAAGTGAGTTCTTGTGGATAGAAGCATGTTTGGATAACTGAAAAATACCTAAGTAGACTACCTGGGTTATACCTGGCTGTCAGGGGTGCAGCTGGGCCTGAATCCTCCCTCAGCCTCTCGCCTCCCTAGCTCCTCAGTGCCCAGAACTAGACCCAAGGCCGGGCACCTGGGTGAGGATTCTGCTCCTAGCATCTCAGCTGAGGCAAACTTGCTAGCCCGGGGTCCCACAGTCGCCCCTGCCTGCTGGATGTAAACTGTTACTAAACAAGGCCCAGATCCAAGGGAGATTTTTAAACTGGGCTTGCCCCAGAGATAGAACAGGGACGATGTCTCCTGGCCTGGCTGCCAGCTCATTGTCCCTGCCATCCTCAGAGATCCCCTGGAGTCCGGGGAGGCCCTGCTGACCCTGCTTTTGTCCCCAGAGGTGGCCGGCAGGTTCCTGGCGTCGGAGGCCAGCACCCACCTGCTGGTGTTCGGCATGGAGCAGCGGCTGCCGCCCAACAGCGAGCTGGTGCAGGCCGTACTGCGGCTCTTCCAGGAGCCCGTCCCCAAGGCCGCGCTGCACAGGCACGGGCGGCTGTCCCCGCGCAGCGCCCGGGCCCGGGTGACCGTCGAGTGGCTTCGCGTCCGCGACGACGGCTCCAACCGCACTTCTCTCATCGACTCCAGGTGGGGGGTCGCGCGGGCGCGCAGGGCAGGGGGAGGGGGCTGCTCGGCCTGGCTTGGGGGCGGGGACGCGGGGGGCGGAGCGGGGTCCTCCGGGCCAATCCCAGTCCCCGCCCTCACGCGGCGCTGGGTCTCCGTGTCGTGTCTCAGGCTGGTGTCCGTCCACGAGAGCGGCTGGAAGGTCTTCGACGTGACTGAGGCCGTGAACTTCTGGCAGCAGCTGAGCCGGCCCCGGCCTCCTCTGGTGCTACAAGTGTCGGTGCAGAGGGAGCACCTGGGCCCGCTGGCGTCCGGCGCCCACAAGTTGGTCCGCTTTGCCTCGCAGGGGGCGCCGGCCGGGCTTGGGGAGCCCCAGCTGGAACTGCACACGCTGGACCTCAGGGACTATGGGTAGGTGCCGGACTGTGCAGACCAGAGACAAGCAACCACTGGGTGGTCCAGACCCCCGTCCCCAGGACTGTCTGGGGTACCGGATGGTGACGGTGGACGAGGGGTTGGGGGGGAGCGTGGTGCAGACTGTCCCAGGATGCCAGCGATTGCCCACTGCATGTCAGGGTTTCTAATGGTAGAAATTGTTTTATTGGCCAGGTGTGGTGGCTCAGGCCTGTAATCCTAGCACCTTGGGAGGCCAAGGTGGGTGGATCACCAGGTCAGGAGTTCCAGACCAGCCTGGCCAACATGGTGAAACCCCGTCTCTACTAAAAATACAAAAATTAGCTGGGCGTGGTGGCCCGCGCCTGTAATCCCAGCTACTTGGGAGGCTGCAGCAGAAGAATCGCTTGAACCCGGGAGGCGGAGGGTGCAGTGAGCCAAGATCGCAACATTGCACTCTAGCCTGGGCAACAAGAGCGAAACCCTGTCTCAAAAAAAAAAAAAAAACAACAGAAATTGTATTATTCATTTTATTTATCTTTGATAATTTTCAATGGATTTTTATGTTGCCATTGACTCCATATACACATGATTGTAATCACCTACTTCCACTTTATCCTTCTTCGTGATTAAATTTTTGAAAAATCCTAGCTTTAGCGGTTACTAGGGGAGATGAGCTTCCCTCCTGCTTTGGTGAATTCTTTCCTTATGGACAAGTTAGCTCTCTGGAGCAGATGGGGGCTGCATAGCACAGTGGTTAGAAGAGGCCTTGGAACCAGTCGGCCTGGCCTCCATCTAGCTCTGCCTTCCACTGGCTGCACGTCCTCTGGCACGTCACCGAACACCTCTGAGTGTCAGTGGCCTCAGGTGGAATGGGGATAATGTTGGAACCTACCTGAGGATGAAATGCAGACATCACCTGAGATAATACACGTGAAGTACCTAGTTCAGTGTCCGGCCTGCTAGGAGACCTTTAATTAATAGTAGCTGATTTAATCCTTTATGTTTCAGATATGTTTATTCATTCATCTTCTCACAAATGTCCAGCTTTTAAAACAGTGAGAGCTGGATCATAAATCTCCCTCCCAGGTGTCCACTAAGCTGTGCCCCAGGCCTTCTGACCTCAGCCTTCCCAGCTGACCTCTGACCCTGCTCTCCTTGCCCACACAGAGCTCAGGGCGACTGTGACCCTGAAGCACCAGTGACCGAGGGCACCCGTTGCTGCCGCCAGGAGATGTACATTGACCTGCAGGGGATGAAGTGGGCCGATAACTGGGTGCTGGAGCCCCCGGGCTTCCTGGCTTATGAGTGTGTGGGCACCTGCCAGCAGCCCCCGGAGGCCCTGGCCGTCAAGTGGCCATTTCTGGGGCCGCGACAGTGCATCGCCTCGGAGACTGCCTCGCTGCCCATGATCGTCAGCATCAAGGAGGGAGGAAGGACCAGGCCCCAAGTGGTCAGCCTGCCTAACATGAGGGTGCAGAAGTGCAGCTGTGCCTCGGATGGGGCACTCGTGCCAAGGAGACTCCAGCCATAGGTGCCTGGTGTATCCATTGAATCCTCTAACTGAACATGTGCATAGAAGTGGTCTTAATGTAGGTCTTAACTTTATACTTAGCAAGTTACCCCATCCCCATTTAGTGCTCCTGTATGACCTTTGCCCTGTGTCCTTCCATTTCCTATATTTCCTATCCATCACCCATCCTAAGCACTTACATGAGTAAATAATGCAGCTCAGATGCTGAGCTCTAGTAGGAAATGCTGGCATGCCGATTACAAGATACAGCTGAGCAATGCACAAATTTTCAGCTGGGAGTTTCTGTTCTCTGGCAAATTCTTAACCGAGTCTGGAACAATAATACCCTATGATTAGACAGAACTGAATTGCTCTATTATATGAGGAATTAAAACCTTCAAATCTCTATTTCCCCCAAATACTGACCCATTCTGGACTTTTGTAAACATACCTAGGCCCCTGTTCCCCTGAGAGGGTGCTAAGAGGAAGGATGAAGGGCTTCAGGCTGGGGGCAGTGGACAGGGAATCAGGATGCCTGGTTTCTGGATCTGACAGGGCCACAAGCTAGGATCTCAAACAAACGCAGAAGGCTTTGGGTTGTCATTTCCTCTTAAAAAGGAGGAGCTGGGCTTCAGCTCTGCTCTAAGACTTCATTGCCTTGGGGATCAGATAGCTCCTACCTACCCCTGCCCACCCTTCTGGAGACTGAGCCTTGCCTGTGCATATTTAGGTCATTTCCCACACTATCTTAGAGAACTTGTCACCAGAAACCACATGTACTTGAGTGTTTTTTGTTAATTTAGCCAAAGCAATTGAATGTAGATACTCAGAAGAAATAAAAAGTGATGTTTCACTCTGTGTCTGTTTGTAATTTCCAGGAGCAATAATGGGGAATGAGAGCAACATAATGATCTGAAGAAAGGACCCCCAACCTCTAAGGGGCACTGAAGACTATAATAGCTAAAGTTAGATGAGGACTTCATTTATTATATTTCTATTTTCTCACACAACTCTTATTCCAAAAATAGTAAACAATCACTCACATATGCCTCCTCTTTAGTTGATGTGCTGCCAAAGCGAGCACTGCCGCCTCTTTTTTTTTTTTTTTTTTTTTTTTGAGACAGAGTCTAGCTCTGTCACCCAGGCTGGAATGCAGTGGCACGATCCAAGTAGCTGGAATTACAGGCATGTGCCACCATGCCCAGCTAATTTTTTTTTTTTTTTTGAGACGGAGTCTCACTCTGTTGTCCAGGCTGGAGTGCAGTGGCATAATCTTGGCTCACTGTAACCTCCTCCTCCTGGGTCAAGCAATTCTCCTGCCTCAGGCTCCCAAGTAGCTGGGACTATAGGCGTGTGCCACCATGGCCGGCTAATTTTTTGGGTTTTGTTGTTGTTGTTGTTGTTTTTGAGATGAGTCTCGCACTGTCAGCTGGGCTGGAGTGCAGTGGTGTAATCTCAGCTCACTGCAACCTCCGCCTCCCAGGTTCAAGCGATTCTCCTGCCTCAGCCTCCCAAGTAGCTGGGATTACAGGCGCCCAAAACTATGCCCGGCTAATTTTTTTGTATTTTTAGTAGAGACGGGGTTTCACCATGTTGGCCAGGCTGGTCTCGAACTCCTGACCTCGTTATTTGCCTGCCTTGGCTTCCCAAAGTGCTGGGATTACAGGCATGAGCCACTGCGCCCAGCCCGTGGCATTTTTTTTTAGTAGAGACAGGGTTTCACCATGTTGGCCAGGCAGGTTTCAAACTCCTGACTTCAGGTGATCCGCCCACCTTGGCCTCCCAAAGTGCTGGGATTACAGGCATAAGCCACCGTGCCCAGCCTAATTTTTGCATTTTTTAGTACAGACAGGGTTTTGCTATGTTGGCCAGGCTGGTCTCGAACTCCTGACTGCAAGTGATCTGCCCGCCTCAGTTTCCCAAAGTGCTGGGATTACAGGCTGAGCCACCGTGCCCGGCCTGCCTCCTCTTTAGAAAGCACCGTAACTCCTACAATAGTGGTGATGGGCAATGGGGGTTGACAATAGTGTGATAAGCGAGCTAACATTTCTTGAGCATTCACTATGAAACAGGGAACTGGGCTAGGCATTGTCACATGTCAATTCTTGCAGCTATCCCATGAGGTGGGTATTATTCATCCTGTTTTTTAGATGAAGAAACAGCCTGAGGTAACGTGAGTGTGTTGAATCTCTATCCCACAGAATGGGTTATAAACTCCTTCCCATGCCAGTCCCCGATAAGCTGCTCTGCTGATGACACAAGCATTAGGTTAAAATGTCATCTGGGAGCTGTCTTATGCAATTCCCTGCCATTTAGCTTTCCCATTCAGCTGGGTTTCCTTATGCTTGTCTATGGAGAAAGTTATACAGTCATGTACCGTAAAATGATGGTTCGGTCAATGACAGACCATATACACAATGGTGGTCCCACAAGATTACAATGGAGCTGAAAAATCCCTATGGTCTAGTGACATCATAGTCATTATGATGTTCTAGCACAACTCATTACTCATGTGTTTCTGGTGATGCTGATATAAACACACTTACTGTGCTGTCAGTTGTATAAAAACACAGCACATGCTAGGCCGGGCATGGTGGCTTACGCCTGTAATCCTGACACTTTGGGAGGCTGAGGAAGGTGGATCCAGGAGTTCGAGACCAGCCTGACCAATATGGTCAAACCCCATCTCTACTAAAAAAACAAAAATTAGTCAGGCGTGGTGGCGGGTGCCTGTAGTCCCTGCTACTCAGGAGGATGAGACAGGAGAAGAATCATTTCAACCCAGGAGGCAGAGGTTGCAGTGAGCTGATATTACACCACTGCACTCCAGCCTGGGTGACAGAGCAAGACTCCATCTCAAAAAATAAAATAAAGTAAAATAAAATAAAGCACAGCACATGCAATTATACATAGTATATAATACTTGATAAGTGACTGTTACTGTTATGTATTTACTATACTTTCTATTATTTTAGAGTACTCTTTCTACTTATTTAAAAAAAAAGGTTAACCGTAAAACAGGCTCAGGCGGGTCCTTCAGGAGGAATCCAGAAGAAGGCATTGTTATCGTAGGGGATGACAGCTCCATGTGTGTTAATACCCCCGAAGACCTTACATTGGGACAAAATGTGGAGGCAGAAGACAGTGATATTGATGATCCTGACCCCATGTAGGCCTAGGCTACTGTGTGTTTGTGTTTTTATTTTTTAACAAAAAACCTTAAAAATTAGAAAAAAAATTAAATTTTTTAATAGAAAAAGCTTATAGAATAAGGATAAAAGGATAAAAGCTTATAGAATAAGGAAAAAAAAAAAAGGATAAAAATAAGGATAAAAAGAGCACGGTGGCTCATGCCTGTAACCCTAGCACTTTGGGAGGCCACGGCGGCAGATTGGCTGAACTCAGGAGTTTAAGGCCAGCCAGGGCAACATGGTGAAACCCTATCTCTACTAAAATACAAAAATTACCTGGGTATGGTGGCGCATGCCTGTAGTCCCAGCTACTCGGGAGGCTGAGAAAGGAGAATCACTTGGACCCAAGAGGCAGAAGTTGCAGTGAGCCGAGATCACACCACTGGACTCCAGCCTCGGTGACAGAGCGGGACTCTGTTCCCCTCCAAAAAAATAAAAGAATAAGGATAAAAAGAAAAATATTTGTATACATCTGTACAATATGTTTTCGCTCTGCCGCCCAGGCTGGAGTACAGTGGCCTGATCTCAGCTCACTGCAAGCTTCCGCCTCCTGGGTTTACGCCATTCTCCTGCCTCAGCCTCCCGAGTAGCTGGGACTACAGGCACCCGCCACCTCGCCCGGCTAGTTTTTTGTATTTTTAGTAGAGACGGGGTTTCACCGTGTTAGCCAGGATAGTCTCGATCTCCTGACCTCGTGATCCGCCCGTCTCGGCCTCCCAAAGTGCCGGGATTACAGGCTTGAGCCACCGCGCCCTGCCTTGTGTTTTAATTGTTATTACAAAAGAGTCGACTAGGCGTGGTGACTCACACCTGTAATCCCAGCACTTTGGGAGGCTGAGGTGGGCGGATCACCTGAGGTCGGGAGTTCAAGACCAGCCTGACGAATATGGTGAAATCCCTTCTCTACTAAAAATACAAAATTAGCCGAGCATGGTGGTGCATGCCTGTAATCCCAGCTACTCGGGAGGCTGAGGCAGGAGAATTGCTTGAACCCGGGAGGCGGAGGTTGCAGTGAGCTCAGATGGTGCCATTGCACTCCAGCCTGGTGAGAGAGTGAGACTCCGTCTCAAAAAAAAAAAAAAAAAAGAGTCAAAAAGTTTCTTTTTAATTTAGCATTTATAAAAAAGTTACAGTAAGCTAAGGTCAATTATTAAAGAAAGAAAAATTTAGTTTTACAAATTTAGTGTAGGCTAAGTATACAGTGTTGATAAAGTCTACAGTAGTGTACAGTAATGTCCTAGGCCTTCATATTCACTCATTACTCACTCACTGACTCACCCGAAGCAACCTCCAGTCCTCCAAGCTCCATTCATGGCAAGTGCCCTATAGATGTTGTGCCATTTTAAAATATTTTACACTATGTTTCTACTGTACCTTCTCTATGTTTAGGTATGTTTAGATACACAAATACTTACCATTGTGTTACGATTGCTTACAGTATTCAGTACAGTAATATGCTGTACAGGTTTGTAGCTTAGGAGCAATAGGCTACACCACACAGTCTAGGTGTGTAGTAAGCTCCACCGTGTAGGTTTATGTGAGTGCACTCCACCATGTTTCCACAGCAACGAAATCGCCTAACAATGCATTTCTTAGAACATATCCCCATTGTTAAGTGAGGCATGCCTGTACTTCAGGATAAAGGACTATTTCTAACCTACAAGCTAATTAATAGTAACTAAATAATACGAGAAAAATAGGCTGGGCGTGGTGGTGGCTCATGTCTATAATTCTAGCACTTTGGGAGTCCAAGGTGGGTGGATGGCTCTAGGCCAGGAGTCCAAGACCAGTCTGGCTAACATAGTGAAACCCAGTCTCTATTAAAAATACAAAAATTAGCTGGGCGTGGTGGCACACACCTGTGATCCTACTCAGGAGGCTGAGGTAGGGAATCACTTGAATCTGGGAGGTGGAGGTGGCAGTAAGCCAAGATTGCACCACTGCACTCCAGCCTAGGTGGAAAAAAAAAAATTAAATTAAAATTAAATAATAACAAAGAAAAATAGAGCTAAAAAATGTCTAAAGACAGCCAAGATTTGAGATTTGGCAAGAATATTGTTGAAGGTAGTGGGAGAGGATTTGGCTCTGACTTATAAATGGCCAGATCACTTCCATAAGACATCAGAATGAAGCCTTTCCATTTGGGGTACTGTAAATACCAGGGCATATGGTTGCTTTGTGTACTAGAAGGATATCAATACCCACCTGAAGAACTCTACCAGCTACACAGTAATATATCTGTGGCTCTAAAAGATCCATGGATTTCCAGGCAGTCACATGCAATCAGTGGCAAAGATGGGCCTGCTCACACCAGGCTGAGTGTGAGCTAAAATTTAAAAAAAAAAAAAAAATGCAGGAGATTGACTTCATTTCAAAATGTAAGGTGTACTCATTAGGGCAGGAAGACAGTGTGGTAGACAGAACGCTCTCCCCAAAGACACCCAGGCCCTAATCCTTGCAACCTGTGACTATGTTATGTTACATAGCAAAAAAGACTCTGCAGATGTAATTAAGGTTACAAACCTTAAAATAGGGAGATTATCTTGGATTATCCAAGTGTGCCCAATCTAATCACATGAGCCTTTCAAGGCAGAGAACTTTCTCTGGCTGGAGGCAGGAAAGATGAGGTAGAAGGGGGACGTCAAAGAGATCTGAAGCAGGAGAA